CTCTTTTACATATCCGGGCAGAAGCAAAAAAGCATGCCTGCTTGCCAACCAAAATTAAATAAAGCCTTCAGAGCTCTGTATGTAAATTTAAAAACTACAAGGAGGCAGTCTTTACACCCATGTTTGAAAAATCTTATTGAGGCCGACAGCTAAGCAAAAGGACCCATAAATAAATGACTTGTTTAAAAATACACACTACTGTAAACACATAAATAAGTTAAAATATACTCCCCACAAAACATAAGCAGAATATGAAGTTATTACAGCAGTGAGAACTATATATGAATTATTCCTACATCCTCCATTATATATTGTCCAGCCAGTTCTGTAGATGTTCGACAAGTCAATATGAGCTCAATGCACATTTACACCAAACAAACAAAATGTTTTTCAAATTTCAGTCCCTTTCAAAGGCTGCATTTACACTGGCACAAAAAAAAATTTGGCTCACATCTGACATACATTTGTTACACAAGTGTAAACACAAAAATCCGCACAAGATCCCTTTTTTTTTTTTTTTGAGCCACTTCCAAATGTGGTTTTAAATCAGATACAAATCCAATATCGGCATGCTGTATACGCTAGCATTTTACTGAGGTGGGAACTTTATACAGTACATAGGTAAGAAATTGCACAACATTCAGGAGCTGGTTTTCAACCCCTACCCTGTCAATTTTATACGTAAATACAACAGCTTTGCTACTAAAAGCTACATTATATTTCTCAGCAATGAGGTGCTGACGTATAGAGCCCGACCGATATGGGTTTTTGGGTCCGACACCGATATTAGGGAGTAAAAAAAAAAAGCCGATATCAATATACTGGCCGATATTCTTTGTGTATATTATAGTACAGTACCAGTCAAAAGTTTGGACACTTTCCCATTCGTGTGTCCAAACTTTTGACTGGTACTATATATAGAATACATTATATACATAAACAGAATATATACACATAAACACATTTTTTGCAATGATCACTCAAATGTGGTGATCAAACACTTAAAATGGACAGAGATATAAAAGGGCATTTAACAATTTTTAACAATTTAACAATAAACTTTATTATCCAAAATGAGTCTGACATCAGTGCACTGAACAGTAAAGTTGAAGTTTATTCAACTTTAATTCAATTCCATTCAACTTTATTCCGTTGAAGTTTATTTCACTTCGGAACATTCATTCACGGATTTGCGCTACTGTCTTCACACACAGACGAAACTTACTAGAGAAGTGTGACATAATATACCGCTGTAAATAAATACAATTTGAATTCACGTCTCGCGCATTTTAATGCCCTTTGAATGTAACGTGTATGTTCCCTTGGAACTGGAATCATGGCAGAATATCATGTGAAGTCCACTTCGCAGGGCACTTACGGTCGAATAAGACAATGCTTGAATGCTGCTGCCTGAACAGGAGATCTCCTTACTGAAGTGAAAGTGTTGGCTGATGTCACTATCTCGTGAACGCGGCGACAGAACTCCACCAAATTCGGGGGATCCTTTCAGCTCGAGGAGCCCTCTCGAACACCACCCTCCACGCGTCAGGAGCCCCCCGGGATCGCCAGATCGGTTGGCGCCCGATCGCGAATTTAACCACCCGGAACTCCCGGACCCCGGGGGCTATCGACGCGGGGGTGGCCTCATTTGAAAGGGGCCCTCGAGATGTATACTCGATTCTTCGAGCTGAAGGGATCCCCCGAATTTGGTACGGATCCGCCACGCTGTTACTGAGATATGGCCGTTCAAAGTTTCAATGGTATTCCATACACTTAAGCTTTAAAGTGTTTCATCCAGGTCGCCAGTAGCAAACAATGGAGCGTGCTCTGCTGGACAAACTACGTAATTACACCATTTACAAGCATTTTATCTGCGTTTTATGTTCTGTAAAAAAAAATTTCATATCGGTGGCATATCGGCGGCATATTCGCCGATACCGATATATCTGCGACAGGCTCATATCGGCCGATAAAATTAGTAAAACGATATATCGGTCGGGCTCTAGTTTTGTAATTAAGCAATCTTCACTATTAGGCTACTCGCTCACATGTTCACATTCTCTCTCATTAATTCATTCAAATTCCTTCAAATAAATATAATCTTACAGTGCTACTTTATTTCACTTCAGAATTCTACATCTAACGAGCTGTAGACAAATGACAAATAAAAATTACAGTTATTTTACAGTCTTTATCCATTCAGTCAGATTTTGTACTGCAAAACATCCATGACAGCTGGTGTCTATTCTGGCAAATAATAATGGCTACTAATGTTGTCAAAAGACCCGGTATTTCGGTACCAAGTCGGTACAAAAAAAATGAAAACGTTACGGTACCGGGTTTTCTTAAGTACCGGTGGTCCCGCGGAATTGGGCTGCTTTAACACTGTTGCCGCGGGTTGTTTTTCATGTCCGCGGGTTGAAAAACGACCCCACTTACGTGATATTTAGCCCCTGGAATGAGAATTTTACCAGGGGAACCCCGCCAAAACATGCGTATTTTATCCTCGGAACGCGATTTTTAATGGGGGACCCCCTCGAAACGCGATTGGGCGGGTTTTGTTGTGAAAACCTGGCAACCTCTTCTTAAAAGCAGTGGCGACCTCAAGAGGAGGAAACGCATCAAACTAACAAAACACCCCCATCAAGTTCAAGCAGGTAAGTTTCAATTACATTTTTAATATTTAGAGCTTCTGTAATGAATATTATTCCATATTTTAATTAGAATTTCGGATTGAAATAAACATCGCCGTTAGCGTATACGTAGTTAATCGTTAGCATAAGCGCGGCTAACGCTAATATAATGAGCATTAGAATGAATTTTGTTCAAAATGATTTCT